TGTGTCAGCCTATGAACATTTCAGCCCACCTGTTACAATCGTAGAGAGTTGCGGGGGTAGTGTGACTCACGTCCGTAGCATACCTTCAAGTTGCACGTGCCTCCTGGGTAGTGCTAAATGATTAACAGCATTTGGTCTGTTCACAGGGAAATGGTCAATACAATCCAGTCCTCGACGTAATTAAAAAAAAAACAATTATTTTTAACATTCATTCCGAAATTTTTGGAATTTTCTTTTTATAAGAGAATCTTGGAGACCGAACCCGACTTTTGATTCCAACTCATAAACTCCTTCAAAAATGCTCGACTTCCGACTCCCCACTTCAGGAAGCAACTCACAAATGCCAAATCTGGTGATCGTGTTGGCCAAAGGACATTTTCACCCCGTCTAATCCAACATGGGTAGTAAGTATCAAAAGATAAAGGCAATTTCTGACGTTTGTGGGGAAAAGAGCGGATTGCCAAACTTTTAACAGTGCCCCATTAACTTGTTTCATAAAATACGCTTTTTTTTTCTTCTTTCTAATGCAGCTGGCAAACACTTAGACAGCTTGGTCTTGGATGCGCCTTAAGGCAAGCGCTGCAGAGACGTACTCACTTTGCATGACCCAGGGGGCGCGTGCAACTTGAAGATAAGCCACGGACGCGGAGTAACAATGCCCCCGCAACGCTCTACGATCCTATTTGACCGGGACCTACTTTTTAAAGTGGATTCCGAACCACTACAAACAACCATGGCACCACCGGGACTCGAACCCGAAACCTGTGGTACCCAGCGCCAGAGCGCTAACCACTCGGCCATTCAGGCCCCTTATCTTTAAAATTATTTGATTATTTTTCACACACACAGTTGATTTTCTACAAACTTGGCTTTTCCATTCGTCAGTGTCAACTTTTTTCTCATGTCCCCATTAAAAAAAAAGAACAAAATATGTTACATGCGAAAAAATGGAGCGCAAAACTTGCTCTCCTCCCTTCCCTGCCAATTCTAAATACAAATACTTAAAAACAACAACTTTGTGCAAAAACAAGTACGCTAATATTATAAATAGCAGGGCCTGAATGGCCGAGTGGCTAGAGCTCTGGCGCTCGGTACCACAGGTTTCGGGTTCGAGTCCCGGCGGTGCCATGGATGTGTGTAGTGGTTCGGAATCCACTTTAAACAGTAAGTCCGGGTCTAATAGACCGTTGCAGGGGCATTGTTCCTCCGCGTCCGTGGCTTATCTTCAAGTGACACGCGCCCCCTGGTTAATGCAAAGGGAGTACGTCTGTGCAGCGCTTGCCTTAAGGCATCCAAAGACCAAGCTGTCTAAGTGTTTGCCAGCTGCATTAGAAAGAAAAAAAACAAAATAGCGCTCTGGCGAGCGATGCTACAGGTTTCGGGTTCGAATTCTGGCGGCACCATGGATATTTGTAGTGGTTCGGAATCCACTTTAAACAGTAGGTCCCGGCTTAATATGACTACTACTACTACACTACACTACACCACACACTACACTACACTACACTACACTACACTACACTACACTACACTACACTACACCACAGTGCCTGAAGTTGAGTTGCCCCTTTACAGTTTGCGAACGATGTGAGTGAGAAGTTCGATTGGTCTCCATGGTCATATGAGATCGGTTTAAAGTGTTTTAAAGTGGGCATACGGTTTCGAACCACCGCAAACATCCATGGCACCGCCGGGATTCTACTCTGAAGCCTGTGGTGCCAATAGCCAGAGCGCTAGCCAATTGGCCATTAGGAGTCAGAACCAGAGGATTAGAACATTTTTCTTCCTACATACTATCTGCAAACTTTTAGAATCGCTACTCAATCAAAGGAAAAATGTGCCCGTGAAATTCTTTCTAAGTAGGTGATGACGATATTTAGCAGTGCATTATTTAATAGTTGTGTCATAACCTTGCGTTATACAATGACGCATTTTATTTCCTCACATTGTAATTGATTTCTCTCTATGGTTACACAATTCCATCGATTCGATTAGCAAAACGAATTGAGTAATCTAAAGTTTCGTCAGCTCGAAAAAAAAAAAAAAATATATGCACACTCATTCCTGTAATAAGTATTACTCACTGTGCATGAAACTGTGTTATGCTGTTATTGTAGATTAATACGGAGATCCTTGGCCGCCTAGCGGTCACTAGCTGCTTCACTGCAAAATGTTGAAACAAGGCGGTGGTCTCATGCCCTTTGAGTAAAATAGATAATTAAATGCCCTTTTTTTTTAAAAGAGAATTATTTATTTAATAAAATTATAAAATGAAAAATTTCAAAAGAATAGATGTTGATGAGATCAGTTGCATGTAATAACCCAGAATGAGCAAAGGTCAAATTAGGAGAAAAAATAGCTTAGGAGAAAAGCGAACTTTTTTCATCTAGGCAGTTGTAAGGAATTAATTAAAAATATTTAGAACAGTGCGAGGTCTTTGGCTATGTTTGCGGGAAGAAATATCATAATCGTAATTTTGTAGGATATTTAATACAGGGTTATTAATGTTTCGCATATCATTATAGAATTGAGTAGAAATTTTGTGGATAAATTGTCTTAAACTTGGAATCGAGAGAGCTCGTCTAATAGCGTCATTTCGAAAGTACCAGGGTGAATCCGTTAACATTCTGAGAGTTTTGTTCTCAAGCCTTTGAATCGTTTCAAAATTTGTACGTGCAACAGAACCCCAAACTGGGCTTGCATAAGCTAATACTGGACGAAGATAAGAGAGAATTTTGAGATTAAGAGGTAAACTGTGTTATGCATGATAAAATATATTTAAGATCTAGACATCAGTCCAGTTTTGTTTAAAAAAGAAAAACAATACATTTTATACCAAAAATTTACAAAAATAGTAATTAGTGACAGTGATAATAAAAATAAATTTCAATTTCAAAATAACATTTGATTTTAGCTTGAATGACCTCCATCCGGATTGGCAACACTATGCTTTAGGTTTGGTTTGTCGCTCTACGGTCATCTTGTGCACACTTTGGGCTAAACAGACCGGGACCTGCGGCTTAAAGTGGATTCCGAACCACTCCAAACATCCATGGCACCTCCGGGACTCGAACACGAAACCTGTGGTACCGAGCGCCAGAGCGCTAGCCAGTCGGCCATTCAGGCCCTTGGCAACACTATGGTGCAATGTCATGAAATGATCGATTTTAACTAGAATAACTTCCTTTCTGATTGGCAACAGTATGAAATGGATAGAAACGAGTCATGAAAATCCTGATTCATTTCAACTTGACTTACTTCCGTCCTGAATCGACACTATGGAATGGATAGTAACTGCGAAAACAGTTAGGGAAGTCAATCCTCCAAAATCATGTGTTCATCCAAAAAGGAAGTTTCTACCACAGGATCCGGGTTCGAATCCCGGGTGGGGGCATGGGTATTTGTAGGGGTTCGTAATCCACTTCAAGGCGTTGGGCCATGGTCTCATAGGACCGTAGAACGTCACGGAGCCCAATCATTTTTTTTCTCACCCACATCATTTACAAACTGTATAGGATCAACTCAGCTCTAGACACAGTGGTGTAGTATGAATCGGTGCACGTAGTAGAAAGAAAGTTTCCATTAATTGTTAAAAACTGCATTTATACAAATTATTTTTTGGTGCAGTAGTAGTATAATATTTTTTTTTATTATTTTATCTAAAACAGTGTCCAACATAAATGATCTTGAGGGCCATTTTGGAAATGCATCCTAACCCCGCGGGCCGCACATAAAATGATATCCCCCTATTAGATTGAAACAAACTATAGACATATTTTTCGAGTGAAAAATTGTGAACTCAAAAATAATAACTCATTGTGATTCTATTATTCTTACACGTGAACATGGATAATATAAATGATACTAAAGGCACACTGTAAAGAAATATAGGACACTCAAAATGAAATATAAAAAATATAAATATAAAGGAAATATTTGGGTATCTGCACATTGTAATGGGTGTTGCAGGTGAGTGTCCGTTATGTTTGAGCGTGTTTTGTGTTGGGTCCATTTCATTTTCGAAGAAAACGATTCGCAGATGTAAGTTCACTTAGAACCCGTTATAGTAGATGTTCCAAGATGCGCGCGCCTCACGAGTTTCCAAAAATATAATTTAAATATTCTGCGAACTCATCACTGTATACTCAAGAATAAAACAGGCACTGTTTGTCACATCTGTCAGAATATATTTTTTAATAGATCAGTTTTCACTCCTTTGGTCATGATAAAATAAATATATTTTGTAAAAGTGTGATCAATCTCACGGGCCGGAAAAGTATTCAAGGCGGCCCTTGGGTTGGCCACCCCTGATCTAAATGAAAAAAAATATGAAATACAGTGAAATAAACTCTCCTAAGCATCCTTTTTTCAATTTCTATTAGCACACACTCTCCCTCTATATATCTTGATCACATTTTCAACCGTTCATAAAATACTTTTCATTCCTCCACTCGAGTTCAAATGCATTTTCTTTGAACTTGCAGTGGAGGACACTTCATGTTAATACAGTTTTTTCAAATATTAATTCAGTAATTTAATTAATTTTAGTTTTTTTTAGATTTAAGTTGCATATATCTACCCATAGAGGGCGCCAGATAAACTTAAAAAAATGAATGAAAATTATTTGTAAAGGACTTTCTCCAATAGAGTGAAAAAAAAGTAGGAATTGACTTCAAATTTTTTTTTTTTATATTACTTGTTAGTTCTGTTCTGTTGTTGTTGTTGTTTCTTATCCCACTTGGCTGGCCAAGCCCACGAGCCCATATGGACTCCTGATTGAAGGGGAAGGAAGCAGCTTCTGTTGTGATGGAGCACCCGTAGGTAGAAGCCTGACTTTTGCTCCGTGACGCTCTTACAGTCATAGAAGACCGGGACCTACGGCTTAAAGTGGATTCCGAACCACTACAAACATCCATGGCACCGCCGGGATTCGAACCCGAAACCTGTGGCACCGAGCGCCAGAGCGCTAGACACTCGGCCATTCAGGTCCCAAATTTGCCAACGGCACGCAGTGTTCCCAGGTGGTCACCACCTGACCGCGCCCAATGATGCTTGACTTCGGTGATCTAACGAGAACCGGTATATTCAGCATGGTACGGCCGTTGGCTTCTGTTCTTGTCATGTAATAGTCAAATACAGCGTCTTAGTAAAAAGGCAAAAAAAACTCTTGAATGAATTGACGGTCAAATGAAATAAAGGGTAAAAACATAAGGTTCCAAAATGAACCTCAATAAAAATACCCTTTTGTACGTGCAATCCATGGACTCTACCACTGATCCCAAATAAAAATAATTTTGAAATACTGCATACCATAGTTTCAGACATCAAAGGGTGAGAAAAAATTAATAAATTAAAACCTCACCGTAATAATGAAACATATTCTACGTTGAAAAGGACACAAAAATGTGAGCAGGCATTTCTTCCTAAATGAATTTAGTTCTTCACAATCGATTTTGATACCTAATAAAGGCAACTAGCGGTTTAGCACTTTCATCTTCTGAACTGAGGGAGTTTGGTTCGAAACACGATAAATGATAATAAACCCACACGTGTGTAGGCCAGAAAATTCTTTTGCCGAGGTTGGTTGGTTTGTTTGTCGCTCTACGATATCTTACGCACACTTTAGGCTAAACAGACCGGGACCTACAGTTTAAAGTGGATTCCGAACCACTACAAACACCCATGGCATCTTTTGCCGAGGAGGAGGGTTCAAACTTTCAGCTCTGTGTATTGCACAAGCCTCATCGGGTGCGGTCAGTACTTGGGTTTGGTTTGGTTTGTCGCTCTACGGTCATCTTGTGCACACTTTGGGCTAAACTGACCGGGACCTACAGTTGAACGTGGATTCCGAACCACTCACAAACATCCATGCCACCGTCAGGATTCGAACCTGAAGCCTGGGATACCAAAGGCCAGAGCGCTAGCAACTTGGCCACCAGGCCGCGTCAGTACTTGTTAGCGAGACCACCTGGAAATAGCGGGTGCCGTTGGAATTCAAAAGTTTTGCTCGACTGGTATCCCAGTAGCAAAGTGGAGTGCTAATATTCGAATCCTGCTGGGGGCCTTTTTATAGTCATTGCTTTCAGAAACGAGGAGACTGAATTTCGATGGGAGATTGTGCATTATCGTCTCACATCGATAACCACGCTGCCTGGTGAGAGTTTTCCGGATCTTCTCTTATATGACATGCAAATGTGGAGAAACTGCTAAAAGTCCATCTGCAAGTCACTGGTCTTCTCCATCAGTGCACTGTTCGTCGTACGCATGAGATCCATAGATGTTCCATTCTCACAGTTCTAACTGACAAAGGAGCTACGTAGCCCTACGGTAGGGGATACGGTGAGAAAAGAATTGTATTATTAAAGTAGGGGTGGCCAGACCACGCCCCGCGGAGTGCATGCGAACCTTGAACATTTTTGAGGCCCGTGACATTTATCACATTTTTACAAACTATATTTTATAATGGCCAAAGGAGTGAAAACCATAACATACATTATGTGTGCATCCATATAATTCAATTTGAGAACGTTTTGGTTCAATGTTTTTCCGAAAACGAAATGGACACAACACAAAACACGCTCAAACATAACGTACTGCTATACATACCCATTACGATGTGCCAATACCCGAATGGAGATCGATTTGCAAAAGCTGAGTGAAAGAGGGGAGAAACACATATCGCACTCGTGAAATAAACATTTTTGAATGATTTCACTTTTTTTAATTTCGTTTATAGTTCATTTTGAGTGTTATATATTACTTTACAATGTGCGTTTAGTATCATTATTATTATATCATCTATGTTGACATGTAAGAATAATAGTAAACACATTGATAACTCATTATGCTTCCATATCTCATACCAAAAAATGTCTACAGTGAGTCGCAATCTAATACGGGATATACAATTTTATGTGCGGCTCGCGGTGTTGTGATGTCTTTTCAAAGTTTTTGTTGGCCGCCCCTGTAATAAGCATTTCAACATTTTGCAACACTCCTGCTCTAAAGCATTCGCCGACTTTTCGTAATCCGTCTTTGGCAATGCTGAAACTTCTACATATCTTTTGTCGTAGTGATGAATGCTTGGAATCGGAAAACAATACTACTTAGTAATGAATTTCGTTGCGCTGACACCTCTCTGCAGAAATGGTGTTGCCATTGTGGAGGGCCCGACAAGTTTTTTTGCAAAAATAGAAGTGTCATAGTTTGACGATTAGTTAGACTCGGTGGCCATTGCGACAGAGTGCCTTGTTATATCGGCCAGGCTACTTGGTGTGAAATTTGCTGATTCTCATTACACCCGTACATCTTAGAAATGAGGACCAATTTCTCTTAAACACTGTCCTAATCCCATACGGCGATTTTCTGTAGGTGGTGACATTTTCCTATCTAGGGTAAGGTTGCGTGTCAACTGCAAGGGTTCAGCTCGAACCCCAATCATCGGGCTAACGCGAGTTTCCATCGAAGATGGACATGATAAATCTGTTCACAGAAAAGGTTTGCCCCAGATATACTCGTTTCAAACCACTCTTGGAAGCTCGCTTTCTTTGAGGTAGTTAGCTTATATTTCTTCTTATATAATTATCACAAGGGGCCTGATGGCCGAGTGGTTAGCACTCTGGCGCTCGGTACCACAGGTTTCGAGTCTCGGAAGTACCATGAGTGTTTGTAGCGGTTCGGAATCCACTTTAATCCATAGGTCCCGGTCTCATATGACTGTAAGAGCGTCACGGACAATCAGACTTCTCACCCATATCATTCACAAACTGCTCTAGATACGGTGTGGTGTGGTGTGGTGTGGTGTGGTAGTTGTAGTATATAATTTTCACCGAACTTGATAAGTTATCGGTACTTACGTATTAACGATACCTTGGCGAAAGTTGCGCCAATAAAGAGCACACGCGCCAACCGCAGCTACAGATTTGGCGGTTTTTAAGTGGCGTCAATCTACACTTAAAATTTTTGTTCCAAATAATAAAATATATAAAACATTTCATTTAAAATCAAAACGCTTTCAAAATTCGACGTCAACTCCTCGCACTAGCAGTATATGAATCTCAAAGCTGGACAGAATGGAATTCTGCTTCCCTCAAACCAGTTGTCTTTTCTAAGTCCCACACGATCAGCACACTGACTGAAATTGCATTTCCAAAACTTACGTTCACCAAAATAAAGTTTCATGTCATGGGAATTGGGACATTTTCTTTTTTTTGGTAAAATATTTCGCTCCTGAAAAAATAAAATTGCATCTTGTTCTGTTTCTGGCAAATCCCAAATACGCATTTTCGTAGCACTATAAAATGGCGTCAAAACTCAGCAAATCTGCAGCTGTTATATTGGCGCCACTTAAAACCGCCAAATCTATACTTGTTAGATTAGCGCCACATAAAAACCGCCAAGTCTGTCGCCAAGGTATCGTTAATACGTAAGTACCAAGTTATCTTATACCGGTACATATTTGTATATACTTCTATCGCCGATTAAGTGGAATGTAAAAAAATCCGGTTTAAAGGCGGAAACGGGCGAATCGATTCATTGTTAAGGGTGCTAGTCAGGAATGCGCGACACTAAGCAGTTCTGAAAGAAAAATTGAGCATTTTTTTCATCTAATTTTCTTTAAATATTATATAATTTAAAGTTTTTATTATTAAAATTAAACTTATTTATAGGATTATTCAAACCCAATATATATTGACCTTTTTTCCTTACGACGGGCCGGCCTGACGGCCAATTGGCTGGCGCTCTGGCCTTTCGTACCGCAGGCTTCAGGTTCGAATCCTGGCGGTGGCATGGATGTTTGTGAGTGGTTTGGAATTTATGTTAAACAGTAGGTCCCGGTCTAATGAGCCTAAAATGTGCACAAAATGACCGTAGAGTGGCAAACCAAACCCTTATTACGCATATCTGCTCGTATCCGTCCGACTTGGCAGCTTGCCAATTTTCCATGCAATCGGTGATCGAACTCTATCTATACCAGGGGCACATCTCAGGATACATCAACCACACATTTTTTTAGTGGGAAATTCCTTCCATTGGGTTTGAATGAGAAAGGCTATGAATACTCCAGATGCCGCAACTGGAAATGGTGATTTAAAACTATGAGATGGGGTGTAATAACTGCCTTTTATGATACATCCTGGTTAACGCTGAATCCGCTTTCCAGTTGCAAATGAGTGCCCTAGATTCAGAAATAACTGTACGCGATCGTTGATTTTTAAAAGAGAAGACTTGAAAATACTTGTAGTTTTCCATTCAAGAAAGAACTTTGGCTTTGAAAATTAGAATTGTCACTTAAAATTTTTAAATCAAAAATAGTTACAATTTTTTGCTTCTATCGGACTTCTCATATAAGCACGATAAATTATAGGCACTATTTATTGCGACATGCAAATCATTCATAAATGAAAATTGTGCATATTTTTAAGTCGCATTTCTAACAGCCCATCTAAGATAAATATTAGTCATTTATTAATTATTAACATTCATTCATTTTTTTTTAAGTTAAAACATTCTCTCTCACACACACACTTTCCATCTCTCTCACTCATTGATTCACATGTTTCGTTTTCCATTCTGTTCCCTCCTGGACTCACACTAGAACCCACAATGAAAAAAGAATCTGAAAAAGACATTTTTTTCTTACACGATTCACCACTGACGGTATTCATTCCTACATTTATATCCTGCTGAATATCTTATAGAAGAGAATTTTTTTTCTCCCCTATAAAACTAAAATTTAATTTAATGAATGAATGAATGAATATTTGAAAGAACTGTATTCACATCCAGTGTCCTCCACTACAAGTTAAACAAAATGTACTTGAACGTGAGTGGATGAAAAAAGAGTATTTCATGAACGATTGGAAATGTGAACGAGATATATAGAGGGAGAGTGTGAGCTAATAGAAGGAATTGAAAAAAAAAAATAATAGCATCACGCCTCCACACTGGCATAAAACTTTATTTTTCCCGGTTCTTTACCATTTTAAGAGCTCAAAACCGTTTTAAGGCCAGAGCCAAGATCGCCAAGTTTTTAAGACTTTCAGCACAAATCACGCCAAATATTTAAAACTTTTAACATGAATCGCGCCAAACATCGCGACT